TGGCACTTTTGTCGCTACATACTGTCTCCTTGATCGAGTAAATGAGCTTGTAACATTAGGGCTTTTAGAACCTAATCACGTATCAAAACAACAGAACAAATGGTACTGGCAGCAAGTGCCTTCCGTATTCCGTAAATGCGCACATTTACATTCACAATGTGGGTGAAATTTACGAGAAACTGATATGTTTTTGTTCCAATTCACTCTGTGTGATCCCATAAAAACATTCATCACAACATGAGGACACTTTAGTATCTGAAGAGCGAAAAAATAGTATAGTACACCGATCAAATCGATCAAGCACATCAATCAAAAGAGCTAATGATCATTGGGTTCAGAGTAAGATAACTCTAGTGCAGATATTTAGCAGGCTCATGCAAGGTCAACGGTGTATTTGAAGTGGGGTTGAGTCCTAATCCGCCAATAGACAGAGATATTCGAGATACAGTACGGGTCCATCTAGTTTAAACAGCGTAGCAGGGCACACACATTGAAGATTTATTGGTACGTTCATTCATGCACAACAATTTGCCACCCAATTTCTCAGACGACAATCTCGGAGTGAGTAAGAGCTTGGAGACCAGTTTTGACTGGAGTGTAGGGATAGTAAGACCAGAAACTACTGTCACAAGTCGAAACCTAAGTATATATGTCAAGAATTTATGTATGACCACTGTAATTAAAGATGGTCGATAAAAAACCGATATGAAACACTATTCGTGAAAGAAGGCCAAAAATCAGGATGTCCAAATGGTGATTAAATTGTCCACGATAGTCGATGATTCTTCTTTAAACGCATAATCCTCAACACGAATAATCCTTTTGCTTTCGTGTAATCCTTTTCTCCTTCTCTAAGAGCACTTCTTAGATTTACTTGCAAATGTTGGATCATGGCGCGAGTAACATTTGGAAGCTCCTTCTAAATGGTCACCAGTTCAAATAGCCTAAAGGCCAACCTGATGGATTCACAACTGCTCACTTCGGATTAATTATTCTTGGCAGTATTGGATTTAGTCATATTTATCTTTGTAAAGACGAGAAAATTTAGTTTCTCACTAATTTGGAGAAATATTTTGGTAGCAAATTGAATACCATTGAGAGCTCCAGTAGAGTGTGTTGTGAGTTTTATACATGGACCCAAGAACAGTGTATCCTGTGTTACCATCAACCGACTGATTTTTCTCCAGCCAAACTTACGCCGTAATCGAAGATTCTAAGCAAAGATCACCGCAAGTCATGGTAATAGAAATAACAAAATTACTGGTTGCAATACAGTGGTGGGGTGAAATGGGCCGGCCACCTGGGAAATTCAGCACAAGTTCTGAGATCCGAGAGTTGTCTCACCGGTTCGAACAATTCTGTCTGGGAAAGTGTAGCGTTTGTGAAGGCCCCAGCGGATGGTATTTAAGGCAGTTGCCGATGGAGGTGGAAAAATGAGGATTAACATTTGTTCTGTAATTGTGGAAAAACATTTGCTCTGTAATTTTTTCGTCTTATGCCGCGAAGAACATCATTCCATCACCGTTCATATAGCAGCTAAATTCGCCTTTTTAAGTAGCATACTCTCATCGCTCCACTGTGAGAATCAGTATAAAATGTGGCCAATCATATCATCTCTATAGATAGGCTATATCACATCCACGGGAATAGAGTCACCAGTGAGATTTTGACGCTCCCGCTATGCATTCCCACATTTGAAGACTGATTGACCTATTGGCTGTTTTTTATTTGAGTCATTCAGTTAAATCGCTTCATTTCCAAATAATCTCTTAAACTTGTCTACCACAACAATGGTCGATCTGTCTTGAAAATGGATGGATATGTGGTAAAAGTGCTTTGGGCGTTGCTGCAAAAGTGAAAAAGTTTCTGTGTCCTCAAATAAATAAAATCCTTAACGATTTAGACGTGTTCATTCCGATTTGAGTGAGTTGAGCAGCTGCACCTACACAAGTATTGTGCGTTGCCTACCGAACTGAGTATATTTTCCACAGAATCATACAGTTTTCTCAGATTGCCGGCGTATGTTTACCTAAAAACAGCTGACTGCTTAATACCCTATCAACTTTTGAGAGCATTCTTTGAGAGCTCAAACGGATCCGGGATCCGATGGTAACTGTAGGCTCTTGGTTAAATTCATTCTACAAGTTCGATACAATCACTGGGCTTTTGGGATATTATCCGTCATTGATTTTGCTCCTGCTTCTTTTTTGAGCTCTCAAGCATTTTTAGCCTAACAGCAAATACATCCGCTTCTGTTTCTTCATGTTGCTGTTGTCTAATCAGGTCACTGTATTTCTCATGAACAACGCCTTTTCTGTTGCGAATTCCAATGGACAACAATTTGTCTTGGCTACAACAGAGTAAGCAGCGATACCATTGTAACTCAGAGTTCACGGACTCTATTGATTACTCTGAGGTATGAGTGAAGACACAGTAACTATGGCAACGAAAACACACCGATAAATGACTGGTCTGGTCTCCCGTGATGTGGATACACGGAGGTATTGGTGATCACGGGACGAAGTAGCTAGGAAAATGAACAGAAGGCCAGATGCTTGCTGAACTACGAGCTACTGCAATTTTCACGGAATCGTATGGCAATTGGTACCATCTGTTTGCTAATGTTTCGTCAGATAGATTTAGATGATCAGGCAATGCAGTGGAGAAAAAAGTCAGACGAGTATATTGCTGGCCTTAATTTGTTTCGGCATATTATTGTAGGCTGCAAAATCACTTTAGGTAATGGACCACTATTGGTCGCTAGTTAAACATCCGCATACCATGGGTTAAAGCAATTTGTTTGCTCACTGAGTCCCTGCTCATCACATGTAGCCGGAACAGAATGAGCACTGTCACAAGTAGCAAGAAACGGCAGCTTAAAATACTCTGTCAAGACTTTGGATGCATTCAGATCAAATAACTTTTGAAGAAAAATGACATCAATGGTAAAGTAAGACGGGATTCAAAGGTTTAGGCATTCCAGCAGACACCATCGAGGATCCAGTATTAAGAGGCGTTATACTGATTTTTACGATCCTTCACTACATCGCTACTTGCAATTCCAGCACTCATGAGTTCTCTTAGTTTTGTTCTAAGCCAGAGGAAATACCTTTTGGTGATTTGCAATTAGCCAAAACAGAGTAAAATCTTTTCTAGAAAGACTGGGAACAACTAAGCCTTTAAGTAGTATGGCTACGGAATGGACTAAGTTTGATTTTGTGTTCTATCGCCTTGCACATCTTGAACAAATGAAGACTTGAACGATTCTTTCGTATCATCACCAATTTGTTTCTAGTTATGCTTCGAAATAACTAGTCAACTAATCATCCACACAACTCAAGCGTAATCTGACTACACATGTGCTCGTCCTTTTACAAAACTGGGCTACGACAAGGGACTTTGCAGGCCTTTACAGATGAAAACCAGTTCATCCTATATGAGGTGGTACGTTACAATGTAAAACCTCTCTGGATTCGAGCTGAAGACCTTTGCGAGCTTTTAATTTAATGGTGCTCATCAAACTCCCACGAAGCGGCAAATTCCTCGCCTGTACCCATTTTGAAGTATCCGTGCTGAATATTAGGCATGCAAATTCCCCTTACATTCCAACTGCAGAATACATGATGAGCATAACCCGATTTATGCCGGAAGAGTATTCACTTTGCAGTCGCTTCATCAAACTTGTGAGGAGAGGTTAAACTGCCAGGCCTCCTTACATATTCATGTAAATAGATACACACTACCATGCCATGGAAATTCAGCCAACAACGAAAGTAAGACATTTCTGCCGAGCTATCGTTCTGATTCATACTGTAGGCTGCTTCACTATGTGATGAAGCTTATGGTAATACAATTCAGGTATGGTATTCCACACATTTAATTGCATTATTTCACCAATGCAGATCCCGATTTCTCCTTGAAATGTCCGCATGATGTAGTAAACTGATACTATTCAACACCATTACAGAAAACAAATTATGCTCAAAATATAGTCTCTTTTGGCAAAGTATCGATATGTGCATCGCTTTGAGATAAAGAAAAAGGAAAGAAAAAAAGAATGCCACATAAATTTTGGAAGTCGGGCGTCGTCAGGTAAGAACTGATAAGCACTCAGCCTAGGTATACCATAGAGACAAATTACATATCGTTACCCCTAGCTGAATGATGTAACCAGACTAATGGTATATTCGGGCCGTCAACTGTCCTTTGATTCACAATCAAACCTGCTATTATTTCGTTCTTTTTTCGCAGACGTAAGGGTAGCTTTAGGGTCAATTATTTGGGTTTGAGTACAGAATCGAATAAGCTGCTACCAAGTTAATCAGTGAGTATGGGCCAACGACCGATCAAATGACAAGCGTGACCCATTACCTATCCATCAGTCTGGTGGAAAGTCAAGGGAAATCTGAGAAAACTAAATACGTTCAGCCAATACATTTGTTTAATCCACTGGACGAGAAGATTTGCTTCGCCAAGGGTTCAAAAAAGATATGCCGTTTACAGACGTCTAGTGTTTTCATCCTTTTTGCAGAATTCGAAGACAGAAAACCAAAACACAAAAGCAGTACACTGATGCGCACGTTCACGGCTGAGCTAAATAATGAAGCGGCGTTCGAACTCTCGACAAATTTTACTTGCCGAAACAGACGATTGCTTGATTAAGATAATCACTAGAATGAGAATCACCTCATTTTGGGGAATATTTTGAAGTTCCAAGTAGTATTTTTAGAAGTACTACTTTCTACTTGCGCAACTCAGTGATAAGCTTATTCGCACTTTTGTGAACTGGCAACACAGAGCACTATACAACATAGAAACCGACGCTTGAATGAGATAGAAGATACCAAAACGACAAGTACGGCGAAGAAGAGCATTGGGAACAGTGCTCTTCGTGGCGTTCACGGACACGTAACTGTCCTGACGACAACAAGAATCTTCGAATGTGTAAAGTATACTTTTTGACAGACATCGGAATTTGGTTGTTTGCATTTATTTCTCAGGGGGAGGAGATTCGTCCAATGTACGTCCGAGGACACAAACCCAAGTAAATTATGGTTCAGTGATCAGTAGTAACCTTACCCGAAAAATATTCTGCAAATATAATGGCTGGTTTGTTAAAAGACAAGCAACGATGAATGTTATTACATTTGCTATTGCCGTGAGATGGAACTATGCTAAAGTGATCACAGAAAATTTTACCTTCGCATTTCCCGTAAATTTCGTTCACTCAAAGAAAATCTTAGAGGCAGTGATTCTGCTGGTTCCTTTTCGGAGGATGAAGCCTTTATTTGACTAAGATTCACGTGATTCGTGCGAAGGATTACTTCAAGGATCTGTTGTCTGACAGGTAGGTTGAAAAGGCTATACTTTAATTTCCCGAAGCAAAATCTTCTTCAAGTATCAAACATCACAATAGTTCTGCCGTTGCAACTGATCAAAAAAGTCTGTCAGTTTGTAAATGTGCTGACTATTGCTGCACACCAATAAGAGCATAAAATTCTTTGCCTGATCTTCAAAGTGGATGGTTTCATTGAAAAGCTTACCACACCCTGTCATCTACGTGCAGAGTAAACCTGTTGTGTACGGTATCGTTCCATTGCTTGTTCACAACAAAACACCACTTCAACAGATATCCGGATGTACATGAACTTAAACTGAGTTCTTTACCAGCAAACACGAATTAAACATGAACAAACTATTGGATAGGAAAGTAAATGTCTCATATGCACACAGTTCCTAAAAATTGGACAGGTGACGCGTCTTCTTGGACTTTCATGGGTATTCATTGACTATAAGGCAATTATAAACGAACGCCGCAAAACTGTTTCGTTATACGCGGGGCGGAGCTTCGAAAAGACTACTCTTCAACCATCAGTAGTATCCGCCGTTACACCCGAAATCCCGAACCAGATCGCTTGGGACTAGTGAGAGTTGAAACGAAACCAATGAAGTTGGCAGGATTTACCTGAAGACTGTTCTGCTGTGCATGAACACTTGAAAAAAAAACATAAATCCAAATTACATCAAAGTCTTACTACAGATAAAACAAAACTCTACCAAAGTGAAAACAGCTGGCTCTGTCATTTGTACAATGATGCTACGTTCGGTATTGAAAGATTTGGTGACAACTTCGAATTGTCATTTCGAATAACGAAAGACGTTACGCTGAAGGTTTGCTTACTTGTTTCTAAAGAAGTTCTGCATACCCAGGTAAGCTAAAGGGGTTCATAGCAAATCTAGTCCATAAGCTTCAAGAGTTGTTCATGTTGGCAGTTTCTAATAATGTGAATCGAATAACTGTGGATTTGGGAGAGGGTAAGGAACGGTGCTAAATACGAAGATGAAATCGTTGGTCTGGCCTGTCGTGCCACATGCAAAGAGAATTCTGTGTCTCGATTTTTTGACCTTATAAAAACGTCCTTTCAAAAAAAATTACGTCTGAGATATTAGCGTAGTTATTAACAAGTCAGTACATGTAGTACGGTGAAAAGTAACCTGATGGGGGACCCAAATCACCTGCCTCCCGCTTATCATCCAGACGATTAAAGCCTCCTTATGGAAGAACAAACTTTCATGAATCAGACGCCTCCTGGTTGATTGTCTTTTTTCCTCTTTATCACCGAGGAATTTGGGGCTTAAGGTCAGCTGAAAGACCGTAAATACTTACGTCATAAGCCCTACATCTTACAAGAGAGCTCTTGTTCTAGTTAGGAAAAGTCTTTGAAGAGCAATACTGAAAGTATGGCGTTTTGAATCATCATCAACATCAATGATGATAAATAAATGATAAATAAATGACGATAAATAAAAGGCTGAATAAAATGGTTGTTTAACCACTTTTTTGGTTCAGGTTCTGGCGATTCAGCGCTAATAATCGGCAGATCATCAATATTCTCATGATAAACAAAAGATTTGGGCTTTAGGAGGTTTAATTCTAGTCTGAATGGATGAAGCCGCAGATACTGAAAACGAGATTAAAACAATTTTTCCTGCGATAACATTTAAACGTTCTTTTAATTTCTCACTGCTTTAATCGCCATGATACCCCTAGCTGAAATTTCTAAGTAGACCTTTGTTTTGATCGTCCGGAGAAAATAAATTTTGCTGTTTGTTTTTAACTGGCTGTGCTACTTCAGTAGTCCGAGTAATGAATTGTTTGGACTTCATTTTATTTGAACACAAAGTAAATAAAGCAGAATGGATTAATCATGCTTCGGGAATTATTCTTGTTCCATTATGCACCTCGTGCACACTAAAATAAAAAACTAAGCGCTCGAATAAAGCGCTTTGAAGAATTGCTGAAAGACATTATTGAAATTATTTAGGTTTGTACCACGGACCTCGCGCATTTTTTATACACCTCTGTTTGCGAAAAATTTTGGTTAATGTTCACATATAATATTCATGCAGTGTCCGGTTCAGATTGATTTAGTTTTCGTACACCCTCGAGATACCGGCAGCCTTCATGCCAAAATACGCCGCACTAGTCCACCGTTGAAGCAATATCTGCTGAACGATCGTGGATTATTCTGCTGTGAAGGCGACTTGAGTGCAGATACTGTGAATTATTACACTGGAAATCACCGGCATAGCACGTTTGTCGACTTCATTAATGATAAGCATTCACCCGGTTCTATGAATTTTTGCGATAAATTGGTCGGTGATTATACCCTTCATTTGAGTTATAGCTGAGTCTCAGAACACAGTATATAGAAGGCTTCATGCAGTAACCCTGAGAATATTTTAGGATGGAATTTCAGCTTGAGGAAGTTCACCTCATTCAAATAAATGAATAAAATGATCACTACTGATTAACACTGGGGGGATCAGTTAGCTGCTCATTGCTCGTGAAGTTACTCAGAGGTTGTTGGTAACGTGAGGAGATGTGGGATTTTTTCTGTAGACATTTCATCCTGTAAGTGAAGCTAATCTATGCTGAAAGGTCGAGAAGCACTGCACAGCTGTTTCATCCTTATTGGGGAATCATCACAGTCCGCATCTCACGAAACTGCGCAGTATCGAACCCGCGACCTCCTGGCTTGTAGTTTGAAGAACACCTCACCGTTTGGCCACGAGCTGCCGATCAGCAGTGTGATTAACTCGCGCTTAGACAGGATATAGCAACGCTCATCCTTCAATCGTGGGATCCACATCACGCGGCCGCATGTATTGACTGACTTCTCGAGCAACGACTTCTCAGATGGAAGTTTCACTCATCGGGTGAAGTTTATTCTTCTAATGAGCTACTTATAGACTGTTGGCAGTGCTTGGAGATTTGGGATACGTTTTGTGGAGATTTCGTCCTGTAAGTGAAGCTGATCTATGCGCTATATCCTGTCTAAGTTCGACTTAGTCACGCTGCTGATCAGCAGCTTGTGGCCGAACGTTTAAATGTTCAAACTACAAGCCAGGAGGTCGCGGATTCGAGACTCTACGGAGTTTCGTGAGACGCGCACTGCTGATGATTCCCAATAAGGATAAGACAGCTGTACAGTGCTTCTCGGCTTTTCAGCATACATTGGCTTCACTTACAGGACGAAATCTCCAAACAAAAAACGTTGGGTCATTTTCAACATCTCCCAATGTGGAATCTTAAATTACTCGAGACATAGTTTACTACCTTTTGTGTTGAGCTAAGGTCAAGCAAATGTCAGATATATATTTGTAGGATTTCTGCATGAACCGATCAATACTCATGCATTTTCAAGTGCTACGTCCGTTGAACAC